TATATAATTTGTTTTACGTTATTGATAATTCGTGTTCCTCTCGAGAATTTTCTCAGGGGAAAGGACTGATTGATGTCTTTATCGGCGACGATCATGACATTCAAGAACGTGGGCTCACTTGCGGGCAAAGAAAATGCGGTTGTGGCTACGTGTATACATATATGATGCTGTCTGGGCAATCTTCCGTATCTTCTTCCCAGGCTGCTATCGTTGATCGGACTATCTCCCGATGGTTCGTATCGAGAGAGGAGTTCGGGACACCTGTCTCCGACGGTTATCCCATGTTAAGTACATAACCAGTTTCGCAATGCGAGCTCGAAACCCCGACTAAAATCGCCGTGCACACATGTAACATACATTACGTACGCATTGTGCATAGTAATATACATATATACGCGCAAGAGAAGTGCATAGAATCACTCGCATGTGTGCTTGTATAAGATCGCATGCATGCAGGTACGCAAGAGCAACCAAATTAGGCGAACGACGACGAGTACGAGAAATCAAATCATGATAACACACAGGGTGTCCTGAAATTATAGTGTCATCTATTGACTAGTAATTTCCATTGTGAAAATAATTTTTAGATATGTATTAATTTGAAGTCAATTTTTTATTTTAGACGATTAATTATCGGAAAAAAGCAGCAACAGTATGAAAAAAATGTTTTGAATGAAATTTTTGCCTATCTCATATATACACACACGCGCGCGCGCGCGCGCGTGTGTGTGTGATGAAATACAATAAAGATTAAATATATTACAACAAATATATATATATATATATATATATATATATATTATATATATATATATATTATTTCAAAAATTAACAATATTTTAATGATATTTTAAATATATATACATATAATATATTAATAAATATTTTACTCTAAAAAATACTTTTAATGTATATAAAGTACCTAGGAATTTTCGCAAATTACTACGCTTTCTCCCAGCTGCGAACTCCTTAATCAATTTGGCGTCGATTTCTCTTTAGCGAAAGTTTAATTGGACGTCATCTTTTTTCACGCCTTTTTTTATTTTCAATCTTAAACGACAATTAAACGGTACTTCTCAACGTTTAAACTTAAACTCCGTTAAATTAAAGCTCATGAGAAATTGCAAGAGATGACTTTATCATTTATTTGCAACTTCGAAACTTAAATCGTGAAAACTTTGAAAGAATCACTTATGGATTAAAGAAACTGTGAATATCTTGATATTTTTAAAGGACATAAATAATTTTGAATTGTTTGAAAAAAATTTATAGATAGTTCCCTTAGCTTTATTGAATCGCGAAAATCTATCCTTTCTACTGTGACGAATATTTGCAAAAACGTAATCATGTTGATGTAAAACAAAGAAAGAAAGAGAAATGAGTACATTAATATACATAACGTACATTTCTAATATATTTCATTTTCAAATTTAATATTTTTAATTACTAGATATTAGATGTAATATTTAATATTAAAAATTACATATAGAGAGAGACAGAGAATGTGTTATTATTTATATATTTCAATATCAAGTATCATTCGACAAAATTTTTTACGGCGTGATAAGATACGATTTCCGGGACACCGTTTACACGCGGATATATTAGGTTCCGGCCACTGCGGTCGGACGAATACAAACGCGAACGCGAATGGCAAATGGCGGGTGACAAGGCATCGGCATCTGCGCTTAATTAATGCAACACCGGCAGGAACGATACAGCAAGGAGGAGCAGCCCATGAGAATGCTGCGGGGGACGATCACTATGCCCGGCACCGGTGACGGCGACGGAGATTGTGCCACTCGGAAAACGACCCAACCAGTCCAGGATGTTCAATTATGCGCATCATCGATCCGTACTCCTCCGTCTCGGAATCCGACTCGTACGATTAAAAAAGAAATACGTCCGGGAAACTGATTCTCTTTTTCCGCGTAAGCATCGATCGCGTTGATAGCGATGAATCTGTGATTGTTGCTCGTGAAAGAATAAGAGTGGTGATTCAGCCATCATTTCGGAGTAATCGATACTGTGAGAATTTTTGTTGAATGTAAGAAGCTTCCTCATTTTTATGTTAATTATAAATTAATTTAATATAAGTAAAAAAATTAATGTATGTAATATATAATTTAATGTAATTTAATATGTGTAAAAAAATTTAATATATGTAATATATTAATAATATATTACATATATAATTTTATGTAAAAAATATTATATGTAAAAAATTTTTTTTATACATTATTTAAATTAATTTACTTGATTCGAAGATTTTTAATTTCAAGAACAAATCTACAGGAAAAAGTTGCAATTCTTTTATAGTTAATTATCTTTTTCGAGAAATCCGATATTTAAGCGGAGATTACCGTAGGGCGCCATTTGGCACCATGGGGATACTCTCATATGTTGCACTAATTAGCGTACTAATTAGAAAACAGTACTAATGTGATTTTATTTAAATAATTTTTATTGTTCGTAATTGAAAATCAACCATCCAAAAATTTTGATCGATATTTTAGCATAACTGGCGTGTGTCATACAAGAATTTATATAATTATATAATTTATATAATTAATATTTAAAATATATTAGAATAAGATTTAAAATTATTGACTGTTTTATATTAGTATTACTAGAAAATCCCATTATAAACTATTTAAATTTAATACTTTGATTACTTTTTAATTTAATCTTACATAATTAATTTATTCTTTAAAACAACTAAAAAGAGAAACAAACTCAAATAATGGTTGTTCCCTGTTGTGATAATAATAAAACGTTCGATTCGGACTCGTCTAATTACAATCAACGATACCGCAAATATTTCTAGCAGAAAGAATGGTTCCAATTTCGCCGAATAATAACATACTGACGCACGCGCGCGTTATTGAGCTTCGGGATATTTCGAGATATAGCTGTAATTTCGATTTGTTCCCCGTTTATCTTTCTCCTCGGTGCGGACACCCACGAGGGCACCCCGTCTGTGTTTCTGTGCGGAAGCAATCCTCTGTATAGGATGCGACAACGCGGCGCCAGCTAGTTCCACGCGCGCACAGAACCCGGGTCCTCGTCGCTCGATTCCTGCTGCGACGACGCTTCGAGGAACGAGTGCAACCACGCTCGGTCCTCGACTTACGTAAGTCTCGACCGTATGATATCACCTCGGGACTGTCGCCACGAGGACGGCGCAAAGGGATACACTTGCAACACCCCCCCCCCCCCTCCCGGTGGATTTCTAAGAGAGCGAAAAGAAGCTCGGCGAAAAAGTACTATTATTTTGAAAAATTAATTATGTCTCGAGTGTCAAACGTTTTTCATGCGCTTTTCTTGTAAAATAAATATAACTAGATAATTAGAATCAGAAAATCTAAATTTTGATTTAAGGCAATATATGTAAACTTTATGTAAAAAGAATAGTTATATATTACATTCTCGTATATGTAATTTTAAAAAATTAATATAAAATATGAAAATTAGTATAAAATATGAAAAAATATCAGCTGTACAAATATTAAACTGCAAAGTACAATGAATTGATTTATTCTCTTAGAAGCTTTCTCTTCTTCAAAATAATAAAATATTTAATTTTAATTACGAGATTAATAATAATTATAAAATAAATCTTCAATATAAATATATATCTATATGTAATTGATATAAACACATAGATAAAGATGTGTCTCTATATAAAAGTTATCTTTAGAAAAGTTAAGTTTTTGTATAAAAATAAAGGAAGAAAAAGAGACAGAGCAGAATGCACATACACCTACGCGTATAAAGTTATTCACTTTCCGGAAACATTTTCCTTCTTCGATTAAAGTTTCCATTAAAGTTTTCTAAAACTCTTTTATCCCTCCCTTGTAAGTTATACGAATGTAAGCGTACGCGGAAGTTTAGCGGAGTTTTCACGTTACTAAAGGACTATCTGTATGTAATATCTATATGTACCACTTAGAACGCGTAGATGCGAGCACAAGATCAGCGGACAGATGCTCGTCTGGTTCCCTTTCCTGTCCAAGGTCCAAATAGGGTAGAGAATCAAGTAAAACTCGGCGCCTACCGACAACGACAGTAAACCTACTCGTCTCTATTACAACTTGATATACCCAGCGCGTACACGCGATACGTATTCGCAGTAGCAGATAGCGAATATCATGAAGCGGCATCTCGACGAAACTCGTCGTCGTGGCTTGAGAGACAAAATGACGACGCTTGCAGTCGTCGAAACATTTTCGCGACAAGGAACAAAAAATAACAGACATAAAAAGTGATTTGAAGAGAAATCTTGTATGCAAATTGAATCTAGTGAATTATAGGTAGTGAAATATATAAATATCTTGCGATAAATTTGTAGAAATTAAATAATTTTCTCTGTCTTCAATAAAAGAAATTAAATAATTTTCTCTGTCTTCAATAAAAGAAAATAAAGTAAAACTTTAATAATATAATTTTATAAATTATAATTTTATAAATTATTTTTATCATTTATTTATTAATTTAATGATTTTCTATTAAAAACAAACTAATTAAGTAATAGTTGTACGAAATTTTTACATAATTATTGCAGAACATATATTTAAAAGATTTTTTTTACAGAAAATTATATATTGAAGGTAGAAAAATAATAAGTATAATAAAATATCTCATTGCTTTAAAAATTTATTTGAAAAGAACATTTAATATTTTTTCATAATAAAGTAAAAAATCGGTATATATACTTTGTTGATTATTAGACAATTAAAAAAATACAAAAAAATGCGCTCTGCATGCGCTATGTATTTTATTATAATCTTAGATATATATATTACTCTCATAAATTACTCTCATATTTTCATATCAATTTTCATACAAGATTTCTTATAAACACGTGTCAATTTTTTTTCTTTTCTGTGGTCGCATGACAGTTAACCTTGCACAAGTGCATAGTATTGCCATCTAAACTACGCCAATCGTACATGTTGCACAAAGTACCGACTGCAAGTGCATCGTAAAAAAAAACTTACCGACAGTGAAAAGATGCTGAAGGAAACGCGATTTTCTCTCTCTCTCTCTCTCTCTCTCTTTCTGTCCTTCTCTTTCCTTCGGTTTCTCTCTTTTCCCATTTTGCGCCGAAATCCGTTTATTTCTCGCTCTATCTTGCTACATTATGTCTCTTGCGTCATCTGTACATAAAAAAGAATGAGAATATTAGTTGATTGGATGTAAAATGCCGAGTTTTTCGAGAGATTCAGCATCAATGGAATATTTACCATTGCAGATTGGCATCGTCAAAGATGCTTGAACGAATTCTCCGCCAAATGAACTCGTCGGGTTTTAACGCGTTACGGCACACGTCCGACACACTTCGCAAAACACTCGCGACATGTTTTCGCGTCCGAAGTTCACTTTTAGACGGAAACACTCACGAGAAATGCACGCAGCGATTCGAACGCGACTCCGCGATCCGCGAACTGTTGCGCGATCGACCGCCATTTGAAATCTATCGAGAAGTGAATTGCGATTCTCGAAATATCGAAGCAACGTGAAATGCGGCGCAAGTCTCGCGGTATTATTTATTAACCCAGACACACTTTTTTAGAGATATCTAAAATGATAAAAGAAACATATCGTGATGCAAGAAACTGTAATTTAAAAAAAGAATAGATCAATAATAAAAGTTTCAGAAAGTAAGTCATAAGATTCGAACAAAAATCTCGTTCATTTTAATACATGCAATTCTGGCAGTGTTAATGACAGATATACAATGCACGACGATTCCTACAACATTATAACACACTGTGCATTCTCAAAATTTATATTCACTTACGTGTCTTACAGAGGTTTAGAGCGTTTATAAAACAAGAGTGAAATTCAAAACTTATCGGAGATCGAATTCGACGCGGGCGCCAACTTTCGTGACCACGTACACCGGAAGTGACGTGCTCGGAGCCAGCCAGCCGATCTCCACATCACACTTGGGTGCAATGGAGTACGTATCTCTCCTTGGATTGAGAGGTTGGGATTCTCACCACACATACATGTGACGTAACCCTTCCCCCCCGCGCATTCCTTTCAACGCCAACGCCACGCAGCGCAGCGAGGCGCGCGCCGCGCCACTTGTGTGCGCGCACGTGTATACGTCAGTGTGCGTATGGGAGACTTTTGGGTTTTTGAATAAGGCACACAATGGTGGTCTCGCAGGAGGTGCTCTCGAGGGCGGAGGAGGTCGCCGACCAGGTGAGTTTTCTAGGGATGATCACATTACCACGCGGATCGCGATCCCGTCCTCGAATCCTGGAAGGGGGACAGAAAACCGACGAGTTAATCGCTGGTTCCCTGGTAGAAGAGCGAGCCATGCTCCTGTCAACGTCATCGTCGCCCGGTGTATTTCCATATTTTCGCGCGTATCCGCGACTTCGCGAGGATTATCTGTCACAGCCGCGAAATGCGCGACGCAATTGATCGTGATTCGACTTCTATCGTTCAAAATTGCAGGTTATAAATTCCACAGGTGTATTCGAGGACCCCCTCCTCGAGCAATGATCGCGAGTGTTGAGACGAAAACGAGCTATATTTTTGCGTTTTCCTTTTCTTACCGATCGCATAAATATCATTATTATAAAGAGATGTTCAACAAGATTCGATATTTTCACCCTTGCATATGCGACAACAATGACTGTGACTTTTCTTCTGATATCCCTCTTATCATCTATTAGCATTTTATTCTATCTAGAAAGATGATCAAGCAAATCTTATTTGCAGTTAAGAATATTATATTTTAAATGCATTTCTTTTTGATATACATAAAGTGAGACATATGGATCATTGTACACTTTCACAGACCTACTTTTCACATGTTCATATATGATAATGTAACACATTAGTCATATTAAAAATTTTTAAAAATGTATAGTAGAGAATTTATATTAAATAAAAGAAAATATAAAGAAGCAATTAAAACAAAAATATTCTACACTGATATTTAAAGAACTTCTAATTAAATCTATTTATTACATTCCTTAATATTTATTAGATACAATTTAGACATAGTAGTATTACTTTTAAAAATACCTATTATTAAGAGTACTTATTTTTGTGACAGGTAATCCGCAATGGTAAACACGTGCTTCCAACATTAGCACGATTGTGTCTCATTGCTACTTTCCTAGAGGATGGCTTGCGGATGTGGTTTCAATGGAGCGAGCAACGAGAATATATGGATGCATCATGGGGCTGTGGAAAATTTCTAGCCACCGTCTTCGTTCTCGTGAATCTTATTGGGCAACTCGGTGGATGTGTCATGGTGATCAGTAGATGGCGAGTCATCATAGCTTGCTGCGTTTTGTTCTTCATTGTGATTCTGCAGACAATTGCATACAGCATACTATGGGACATGCAATTCCTATTCAGGAATCTAGCGTTAATAGGAGCGCTTCTATTGGTGCTGGCAGAGTCGCGAGTCGAAGGTAGATCACTTTTTGCTGGTGTGCCCAGTCTTGGTGATAACAAACCTAAGAATTTACTGCAATTGGCTGGCCGAGTTTTGTTGGCGTTCATGTTCGTCACCCTAATTCGCTTCGAGATATCTTTTCTACAAATCCTCCAAGACATTGTTGGCAGCATCCTGATGGTATTAGTGACAGTCGGCTACAAAACTAAGCTGAGCGCATTACTACTTGTCGTTTTATTAACTGCATTAAACTTCTACCATAATGCATGGTGGACCATTCCTGACTATAAACCACTCAGGGATTTTCTCAAATACGACTTCTTCCAGGTAAGTTTGTCTGAATATTAAATACTTTTATAATATTAATTATACATATACTTGTTTTATTAGAGAGATATTAACTTTTTTATTACTACACAGAGTGCACATTTTATTTTTGCTAAAAATAAATTTATTTCTACCAAAAATAATTTTACAATATGTACAAAGTGATGTAAAAAAAAAAAAAATTTTTTATATGATTATTAAATGTGTAAAAATTATGAATCAAGAGTTAAATTTATCTATTCTGAATCTCTAGATATTACTTGTATGAATCTTGATATAATATTAATATTAATATAATATTAATATAATATATTAATACAGTAATATCAATATTAATGTAATATGGTTGTGTAGTTTAATCTCTTAGATCTATATAGTTTAATCTGTTAAATCTTTTATCCTCTATTAATTTTCTATTATCTAATCTATAATCATTACACACATATATACATGTCTATAATGTATCTATAATGTGTTTATAATGTTCTATTATCATTATTATATTTATTATTTACATTTTTATATATGATTTATTAATTCTTTACATATTTGTATTTATTGTAGACACTTTCAGTCATCGGAGGTCTCCTGATGATAGTCTCCCTAGGTCCAGGTGGAGTATCGATGGACGAACATAAAAAAGAATGGTAGAAGCGATCCTACTTATGAATGTGGATACGTTATCAGGTTGTTGTCAGGAAAGTTAAAACGAATTATTGTCTCCTATCCCTTTGTATGCTCAAAGAAATCCTCAACAAATCATTGTGTGTTAAACGACAAGAAACCCGGTTACGTCGATTTCGGTCCAATGCAGTCATTCTGTGTGTAATCAGTTAACTGAGATTCATATTTTAACATTATGACGAAAATAATCGAAAAGAGAAGGAAAAAGATAAGCACATGCAGATAAAGACTATATTACAGATAATGGCATTGTACATATGACACTGCATCTAACACGGATATTGTATTTTTTCCTATCTATGTTTTCAATTATTTTTAATTGTGAGTTGATTATTTTGAGATTCGAGTTTTAGTATTGAATATATGCTTCCATTATTCCGAATCCAAGATTTATAAATTTCCGGGGGGGGGATCCGTCGACTCTAGCTTGTAATTTTTTTTAACTTAACTCTTTTTCTTTGACTGTAAATAAGCGTTCCAGGTTTGTGTTAATTATGAAAGAGGAAGAGGGGGGAGGGTGTTAGTGAGAAATCAGCAGGTTAAGGGTTTATTAGTTAGCTCCAATAATACGTTATGCGAAAATAAACGGATCTTAAAATAGCGCGCGTCCGAGTCTCTCTACACGTCAGCAAAACGGGAAAGGAAGAGAGAGAGCGAAGACAGGTGCGATCATATAAAGTCAGTAAGCAAGGTGCAACTCTTCTATATAAAATAGCAAGTGAAAAGGGTGCAATTTGAAAAAGTCTGAAAAGATGAGAGTCAAAAATCATGGGTGTAAACGCGTGCCTGTGAGCAAAGGCACCACTATTTTGTATGGAAAACCGTTTGCCTATATACTAAGATCGGCGATGCGTAACGAAAGATGCGACCATTGCCTATTACGAAGGTAAAATTGTTTTATCATATATATGTATAAAAGAGAAATAATCTTGATAGAAAGTCATCTCGTCCTTGTTACTCCTTCAGTCCCGATATGAGCCTTATTCTACATCTATTTGTGTTGTTAATTTTTTATTCGTAACGTTTTTAATTTATTGGCATTATTCTCTTAACAAAATTATTATGTATGTAATAATATATGAGTAATATATATATTTTTTTTTCTATTAGGATGACAATTGGCATGTCAATTTATCAAATAAATATATTGTAAATGTAATTTATATAGGTTTTATACAGAGTTATAATGTATATCTTGATTAAAAAATTATATCATATTTAAATTTTATATTGTATCAGTCTGTTCATAAACTTCTCTGAGGCTATTGAAAGTTTAGTGCAAAATACTGAATATGAAAATCAGCTCGGGTAAATGTCATGTTTTGTCAACCTAAAATTCTCATTGCTATAAATACAGATTTATTAAAATAGTACTTATAACCGTGCTATAAATAGATATATTAACTGCTTTAATTTAATTTTTTACATTTTTGCTGCTTATTTTATTCCTTCTTTTACAATAGTTGAATATATTTTTATTTTATTTCGAATAAAAATATGAAGATATAATTAAAAGGGAAATCTAAAATTAAATCTAAGATTTTTCTGTTTTAATTATACTTTTCTATACTTTTTATGTATATAAACAAATGTAAATACATAAAAGTTTGAAAAGCTAATAAGAAAGAAAAAGAAAATAAAATTATAGAAAAAATTCAACTAAAGATATATAAATTGTCTCTTTAAAGTTTCAAATTACGCGCGCATTATAGTTGAAACATATATGTATATATATATATATATATATATATATAAAATACAAATAGCTATGTAAATATATTTATATAAATATATATATATATATATATATATATATATAATACAAATAGCTATGTAAATATATTTATATAAATATATATATATATAATATAAATATATGTATGTATATATATATATATATATATATATATATATATATTTATCTAAAAATTATGTGAAGAATTATACACAGAAATGACTTAGAAAAATTTAAAATAACTTTGAAAGATGTAGTAAGAAAAATACAACATTATAGAAATTTCAAGTTATGAACATATGTCGGTATTTACACAGATTTTTTAGATTAGGTTAAGTGTGTTAGATTAAGGTTAGATCAAGTTGTTATTGGGAACAGAGAGCTTGAATGTTTTGTCAGTGTGATTTGTATGTCTGCATTTAAAATGAATGACGATATATCAAAAAGAGGAACAATAATTTTTACTAGCAAACCGTTTGCCTTTGTACTTAACTCAAAACACAGAACTAATCGATGTGACAATTGTTTGAAAAGGTATAGAAGAATGAGAGTGACATTACGAGATATTTGTAATTTTTAATCATTTAATATTAATTAATTATTTAAGAATAAATCGTTTTTTATTTTATATATGATAAAAATAAAGTTGTATAAATAATATGATAAAATGTTAAATATAAATACATAATTATATATATATATATATATATATATATATATATATATATTTGATGCCATCCTGTCATCACGAAATGTAATTTATTACAGCGGCAAATTATTAAAGTGCTCGGCTTGTCAATATGTATATTATTGTAACCGCAATTGTCAAAGAGAATCATGGTCGATACATAAGCTAGAATGTGCGAATTTGAAGAAAATATCGCCAAAGATTATGCCAGATGCAGCGCGGCTTATGGCACGTATAATTCTCAAACTCAATCGAGGTGGGGCTGACCAAGTAGGCTATTATACTGAAAAAAATTTCAGAAAATTCAAAGACTTAATGTCACGTTAGTATTTTTCTAATGAAACAATTTCAGAGAATATGCGAATGTATGAAACAATTTTAGAGAATGTGTTATATATCAACTTGTGGATTGTAGATTATTCGGATTTAAAGAAAGATGCAAAGCGACTGGAGCATTTCACCACATTATGTGCAGTTTTATTTGAATTTCTTGAGGGAGAAACAATGCCCAACATTGCAGAGTTGATGGGTATTTATGGCAGAATATGTACTAATTGCTTTAACATATTAGATCTTAATATGAATACCATTGGAGCTGGTATTTATCTGGGAGCATCTGTGATAGATCACAGTTGCAAACCCAATGCAGTTGCTGTTTTCGAAGGAACTACTATCATTATCAGAACAATAGTGGATCTTCCCTCTTTAGATTGGTCACAGGCAGGTATTGATAAAATATATATTAATAGTGCTGAAATAAATAAAAAACATCAGTAATGCTGGATTTAACTTTTTTACCAATTTTATGTAGTGACTCTTAAATATTCAATATTGATTCTATTCATTCATAATTGGTTGTATTTATAATAAAAAATTAGTAATTAAAAGTAATTTAATATAAATATCTTTTATTTCAAAATTTGACAATCTTATCTTTCATACAGATAAAAATATCATATATTGATTTACTCAATTCTAACAAGGACAGACGCGAAGAATTGTACAATTCATATTATTTTTGGTGTGATTGTGAAAGATGTAAGCAAGTGGAACCTATGGCTGAAGCAGCCGCATGTTCAAACTTATCATGTGATTCTCCATGTTTGATTGAGGCTGACAATTGTAAAACATGTGGTACAAAAATATCAGAGGAATTTAAAAACACGTTTCGAGAAGTCACTAACTTTACTATTCACCATTTAGAAGAAATGAAGGCTATGGCTTGTATCCTCTTAATATTTATATATGAAGGAAGCTAACTAATATTCAGAAATTTAGAGCAAAATATTTTTCTAATAAAATCTATCCTTGATATTTATAATTTATCCTTATTAATGTAATAGATCTTGATGTCAGTAAAATATGTTTGAAAAAACAGAAGAATATATTACACAGATTTAATATACAGCATATTCGTACTCTGGAAGCAGCTCATATTGCAGCTATGAATCTAAAATATTGGGAAGATGCAGAATTATATGGCAAAGAACTTATTCCAGGATATTTGTAAGTGTTTGATTATTTGTAATAAAAATAATTTTCCATGGTGGTTAAAAATAAACATTATAATATTAATATTATATATAATTATAATATTAATATATTATATATAATTAAAGACATTATGCTTAATTTTTAGATTATATTATGGAGAAATACATCCCTTGATAGGATTACTATATCTTATGACTGGAAAGATACAATTGCATTTGAACAAACCAAAAGAAGCACTTAAAGTATTAGAAAAGGCAAGTGAGGTGTTAATGATAACACATGGTGATAAGCATTCCTTAATGAGAGAAGAATTGAAACCTTTGCTTTACCAAGCTATTATGGAATCAAATGAAAATATTAACGGGGTGCAGTAATTTTAAAATTTTGTTATTTTTTTTAGTAATAAATTATTTGTTTAAACTTGTATGATGCAAAATTATATGATCCATTCTATATTTTTATTGTTTGATTTTGATGAATAGCATCTATTGTGATAATAGATATTAACGTGTCTATTAAAATATATGTTTGTACATTTCTTTATACTTTTGTATCATTTCTATATTTGTATATAGAAATATACAAAAGAAGTATACATTTCTATATTTCTATATTTGTAGTATTTTTTATAATAAGATAAATTAGACGAAAATAACATTACAAGGATAGAACAATAATTAAGAGAAAGAAGCTTAAGTTTTTCTGTAATTTTCATCGAAAATTTTGAACTTAACAAAATGATAATAAAGCCTATATACACTTTCTTCCTGACTTTTACATTTAAAATAAGTGTAAAATAATACAAACGTCTTAGTGATATAAAGAAAAAACATCCAATCATAAAAAAATGCTATCGCACTAGACGAGAAAGAAAAAACGATTTCAGAAATCGATGAGCCGTCTGAGGTTTTGTTATTAACTACATCAATTTTTTATAAATTTTTTATGAAATGTGGCTAACACATCAGAGATGAAATGGTCATATTTACATAAAAATAAATGTAACTTAGAAAAATAAGTTTCACAAAAAAAGTGCAATTTGAAAGTTTAAAGATATGTCTCTTTGGTTGTTATATTTTGCAATATTTATTGTTTATATAAATTCTAAAATAGTACGCAACAAATATCTTGCCAATATGTCAATTTGTTAATGCAAAAAAATCTTATATATATGTATGTGAAAACTTCATATTTGTGAATATATCATTTTATTATAACTAGATAATTCACATATAATTCGAGAGATCATTTTCTTTCCACAAAAAAATTTACGAAAATATAAATACGAAGGAAAATCAGAGCCGTCATTTTAAATTGTGTTTAAAATTACGCGCGAGAGTCGCGTCCAGCATTGCCAACCTTGCATCAATGAAGGAGAAACAGCTGCTGCTGCATATGATACTTATGACAGCTGTCTCACATTCAGAGCCGCATTTAACAGAGGCTTGCTTCATTCATAAAACTTGAAGTATAATATGTGGTAAGTATAATTGCGATTTCCACGATACAAATCTCACGTGAATTTGATGAATCTTTAAAAGGATCTTGCTCGTTTATGCATCGAGAGATATATTAAACGATTTTCCGATGATAATATCGTGAAACAAATACATTTAGAATCTTGTCTCCTTCGCGAACTTTGATGGACATTAATATTTTTGCTCTAATATTTCAGGATATTAAAATTTAAGAATATGATATATTTTTATATAATTTATATATGATGTATAGAATTTATGCAACATTTCTATAACATAATTCTTATAAAATAATTGATTTATTGTTATTATTATTTATGATATGTGTATTTTAATATGTCATAATTTGAGAAAATATTCTTAATATATTGTTATATTTTAATTAAAATTATATAGCTTTCATTCATAATTATTAAAGAAGAATAAAAATATTTATATATTAATATTATGTCAATATTTAAAACTTATATCTATAATTTTATTATAACATTTAAAATTATATTTATATTACATATACATATATATATATATATATATATATATAATATTGTGTTAATTTTTCAGGTATCTTTTCAGATTTTAGAATTAATTCTTTCAACAATTGCTTCTTTGAAGACTACATAATGTTTTCTGCCATTAAGAGATTAACTGGCAAATCAGATGGCAATGTGTCTCCTAGGCCAGCCCATCAATCTATGCCGACAAATCTTCAGAGAAAATTTGCCAAAGGTGTACAATATAATAGTAAGTGTGCATATACATATAAATATTTTAGTGTAAAATAGCATATCAATTATAATACAAACTTTATATATTATTTTTAGTGAAAATAATAATAAAGGGAGACAGGAATGTAGGAAAGACATGTTTATTCTATAGACTGCAGGGGCAAAAATTTATCGAAGAGTATATACCCACGGAAGAGATACAGGTGGCTAGTATACAATGGAATTATAAAGCCACTGATGATGTGGTAAAAGTGGAGGTATGGGATGTCGTTGATCGTGGCAGACGTCGCCGGAAATTGGAAGGTTTAAAGATGGACAATGCTCCGAGTAATGCAGAAAATGTTATCGAGGAACCAGCTTTAGATGCTGAGTTTCTCGATGTTTACAAAGGCACCAACGGCGTTATTATCGTGATGGACATCACGAAAAGTTGGACGTTTGATTATGTTCAACGAGAACTGCCAAAAATACCTAGCCATATTCCCGTTATCGTTCTTGGTAATCATTGCGATATGTCGCATCACAGAACTGTCACCGCGGATCACGTGACATACTTTATAGACTCGCTACACGAAAGAACAGCACAAGTAATCAAACTATTGCATAATTAACATTATGTTATTATTATGACTATTACATCTCACACTACTAATGGATATCTTACCATGAATGAATAAATTTGAACGTGTGTTTAACTAAAATTGAATCAAATTTATTTTATATATATGTATTAAAATTATTTAAATTTATCTTATTCTAAATTTATAAATTAATTTTTGTAGATAAGATATGCGGAATCGTCGATGCGAAACGGTTTCGGGTTAAAACTACTGCACAAATTTTTTAATCTACCGTTTCTGCAGTTGCAACGTGAAACGTTGCTGAAACAGCTCGAAACTAATGAAGGGGAAACACGCTTGACAATTCAAGAACTCGATCTCTTCCAAGACAGTGATGATGCCGATTACAACAAATTCCTAGATAATCTTGTAAATCGTAGAAGAGCTCTTGCCGATTCAGTATCTGCTAGCAATCTAGTTTCAAATGTTCCATCATCTATGAGTAGCTATCATCTTGCATCTCCTAATACGAATACCGCCGGAGAAGTTAAAAGATCAATTTCAATGCCCGGTCCAATTGGTGGCGGAACTCCAATCCCAGTGAAAAGTTTAGAGATGAAATCATTATCAAAAAAGGAGAGCTCTGCAACAAGCACATTGAATAATTTATCAAATTCTATGAAAGCTTCGCAAATTGTGACATCACCCATTTCACAAAATTCTGCTGTTAAAATAGAAGTAGCTAAACCGGCTGAATCCGCTAATGACAATGGCGAGAAAAGAGATTCGCTCAATCGCCCTCCATCACTCATGTCTAAAATCTTTGGCCACAAGAAAGAAGATGAGATGGATGGAAAGCTGCCAAATGTTAAAAATCTTAGCTTAAATGCACCATTGACTAGTGTTGAAGATTTTGTACCAGATGATGGGATGTTAGACAGATCGTTTTTGGAAGATAGTAATCAGGTCTCGCCACAGAAAGTGCAGCAAGAAGAAGTAGATTCTGAGAGGTAAATAAAGAATTTGTCAATATATATTATCATCAGTAGTATAATTATAATCAATACTAATACTCTACTAATATAACTTTATTTTAAAGTGATACAGAGACTGCAAATCCTTTAGTAGCTGGTTACGAAGATGATTTGTCATCCATTGAAGAAGTAGCTTCTCCTATACAACCAAAATTAGCAGAAAATCCGTTATCTAAACAAAAACATAAACTAGAACCGCTGTCAGGTCCAGAAATGAATACCGAGAAGCCAAATCAAATTATGAAACGCGACTCTGTTTCTTCCATAGAACAAGAATTACGTATTTCAAATAATTACGAGTCGAATGAGCAGCCAGACATAAATTCGGATACTATTGACAGCTGGTTACGGCGAGATTCCAAATGGCGACAAAGTCCTGAAGGAGGTGAAGATGTGAGCAGTACCAGTACGAGGAAAGACAGATTAGAATTAAGCGATAAGAGTCTGGATGTTAGCATGACAAGCTCCAATGTTCACCTGGAATTGCTTGATGACACTAGCATGCGTCATATAAACTCTAATACCAGTAGTCCGGTGATGAAAGAAAGAAAGAAACATAAAGAGAAGGTAATTATCATATATAGCTTATAAAAGATTTTTATAAATATTCTCTATTTTATAAGAATCTCTGGATATATTGAAGTATATTTTTTCTATCTTTCCTATTACTTTGATTAATTTAGATTTGTTTTCTATATATTCTGGTTCTTTCTTTTTACTTTTTTTTATTTTATTGATTCTAGGGAGATGAGAAAGAGAAGAAGAAAAAGAAGAAAGCAAAAGACAAGGACAAGGATAAAGAAAAAACGGAAAAAACTGAAAAGAAAAAGAAACGCTCATCTCACCGATCGAGGGATGAAAATAGAGAACGAGATGAACTCGAGGAATTTTTAAATGGTTCAGCTACAAGAACTGGTGTTGACGTTGCCTATGAGGCAATTTAGCATTCTAACAAAATTATCGGTAATGTTTTTTGGAAGCGCACATTGCAAAAAAAGAAAAAAAGGACTTTTTGCTTCATATAAAAGACTCCTTGATGTTAATGTATGTTATGTCTCCGAAAACAAAAGAACAAGATTATTATTAATGCAAAGAAAATAATGTTTCGGATCACAATTAATCTATAAAAATATATTTTCCACAAATATAATCGTATGTGCGCTTTTGAACTGCATTAATTGGCATTTTAACCAAGCAGTTTGTTAAAGATCGTGATTTTATGGAAGATATGTTTCAGTGATCAAATCGCCCATTTCTATTGCATTTTGATTTTAGATTTTTAACAATTTTTAACGAATATTTAAAAAAATTGTAAATCGTGAAAGTTTCTTATGTAAATGGATATAATATGTGAATATTTCTCTTACAATATGATAAAGTGATATAATAATTATGTGGCATTGCAATATGATATACTTATAGAATTATTTAATTATATTTTTAATTTTCTATATTTGTTTTTTTTTTGTACTAAGATTTATATATATATTTATCGTTAATATCACATACATTTATAACTCCATCTTTAGACCTAGCATACACTGTTCTTGTTAAACATACAATTTTTTAAAAAGTTATCCTATATAAAAAAATGTTACGTTAATGTTATATTATTTCATAACAGTGTATAGCATTATGCAGTCATTGCAGCTTCATGTTAATAAATGTATATAACAAATTAAATCTCAATCTTATTACTAAAAATGTGTCATAACACATTAGCAGTTTATAAATTATTTTATTATAATAAAATTATTATTAGCTTCGAGATTCCTGCAAGATACATAGAAAAAGAGAAAAAATAAGAATAAAATTTTGGTTTCTTTCTAATGAATAAAAAAAGAGAACCAAAACTCAGAACAGCTGATAATAAGGAGTAAGAGAGAAGACGAGTAATAATGAACCGATGGTCTTGTAAAAGTCACTGCGCAGAAGCGAATAAGAGAGAGAAAAAGATTCTGCTTCTATTTTCTCTCTTTTTCTAACTAAACTTCGCCACTAAAATATTGATGAGCATGAGGCCGCTCTACTTATGTTATGTCTATGGACGTCAAGAATGATGGTTAATGTTTGGGCAAAATGGCGCTCGCCGAGGTTTGCGGTATCAACTCCTTCGCTGATTTTGGATATTCGCGAGAAAAGGATAAGATTGCCGGCGAGATCGAGGCATATACGAAAAACTTTAGCAACAATCTTCATCTGGCAGTGCCCCCGTTTATAAATGTAAGTGTAATATAATGATATAAACGACGATTGTATGACATAAATTTGCAGCATCATGCAATGGTTCATTTTGCGGTATATAAATTATATCGTTACGGTCTAATAATTTAACAAAAGCGATTATCTTACGTCGTAGTAATTATTAATAACGATAATATTAATATCTAAGCTGATATACATAAATTTTATTGAAATTTGTTTGTAATATTATTTTTCTAAATACACAAGTCATTATTCTATATTGTCAAGTATGGTTTTCTTAGATTAAACTATGATAAATTAATAAGTCATAAGTTGAAAATAGCAAATCAAGTTTTAGAAGAGTTTTATAAGTTTTCTTTTTATATGTCTTATTTGTATTCTTATATTCAAGAAGTTTAAATATTTGATATAAAAAAGTGTTATATTCTAATTCTATAATCTTTACATATATTTATAGCCAGCTGAAACTCTTGGATGTATAGCTGCAGGCACTGATGAAACTGGAAAACATTTGAAGATCAAATTTGATCATGGAACCACAACTTTGGGCTTTCGGTATCAGGGTGGTATCGTTCTGGCAGTGGATTCACGTGCAACTGGAGGGCAGTTCATTGGTAAAGCATGTTTCATATATATATATCTATTCAATTAATGAATTATATTTTTATGAGATAAAACAATTTAAAAATTTCTAATAGTTGTTGATTTTGAAGATTATAATTTTCATCTTGTTTTTCAGGTTCATCCACCATGAAGAAGATAGTTGAGATCAATGATTATCTTCTTGGCACTTTAGCTGGCGGTGCTGCCGATTGCGTCTATTGGGACCGTGTTTTAGCAAGGCAATGCCGAATGTATGAACTTAGGAACAGAGAACGCATTTCTATCGCAGCAGCGAGTAAACTCTTGTCGAATATGATTTATAACTTTAAAGGAATGGGATTGAGTATTGGTAAGATATCATTTGTGACTCATATTAAAGCTCTAATAAGCCATAAGTTATGTAAAAATTTATAAATATAATCGCATATAGGTATGATGCTAGCTGGTTGGGACAAACGTGGACCTGGACTTTATTATGTCGATTCCGAGGGCACTCGGACTCCGGGAAAAGTTTTTAGCGTAGGTTCTGGATCTGTATTCGCGTTCGGTGTGTTGGATTCTGGTTACAGATGGGATTTAACCGACGAGCAGGCTTATGAACTTGGAAGAAGATCGATCTATCATGCTACACATAGAGATGCCTATTCTGGCGGTATTATAAGAGGTCGGTTGTAAGATAATAAATATATTTCTTGTACCAAATAACTGCAATGTCTTAATATATATTTCATTTTACAGTTTACCACATGAAGTCAACTGGCTGGGTACATATCTCGGATCAAGATTCCAAGGATTTGCACTATGCGTACCAAGCTGAAAAAGCATTGGAACAACCAAGCACTTCCTCCTAAACTTAATATATACATTGTACACGTTGCTAATCGTTTATGAAATAAAATAGATTAATTTCTATCTCTATATAATTTACACTAAATTTTCTATCAATTTAACACTACCTTCAATATAGTTTTTTTATGAAACAATTTATACATAACTTTTTTTCTATAACTTTTAATTGTATCTGAGAGTTTGTATTAAAATTGAGGAGTATTTTCAGTATATTATTTTTACATTCTTTATATATTTTATATCGCGTCATAAAATGATATTGAGTATATATTATCTGATTCTGATATCAATGAATATACAATTTGAATACATGCAACTACAAATTTGTTAATTGATTTCTGTGGTTACATTTCTCTCTAATTATCGCGTATGTATGCGTGTTACATGTAAATCATATCGGAGGCATATACGTACATACGCCATCGCATGTGTATTCAAGACGAGATACATCGTGAAAGGAGTATAAACGACGTGTAGTAGTAATCCCCTCTCTCGCGTTCGAAAACACGACGCATACGAAGCAAGTCGGCTCAGCTACCGCTATCACTCAATCATCACTGGATCGGCGACAAAGCAGTGCGATTGCGAGCCACGAGCAACAAGACAACGGTAACATATTGCGAGAGGAATTCAACCTAAACTAAGACTTTTCCATCGATCTAAAGACGACGGAATGTCGAGCGGGACGGACGAATGCAAATTAAAGGGCGGTCATCCTCCGGCAGGTTAGTGATTTTCTAACATTTCTATCGCTGCGAAATATTGCCGATCCATCGAAATTCACCTGTCTTGCTTGCGATCTGTTTCAAGGTCGACCTTTCGCTCGTGCAATTTTTAACGCGCATTTCACGCCGCGTGTTTGCCTCTTTCAGTGAAGGCGGGCGGCATGAGAATAACCCAGCATAAAACGCCGAAGGACGAGCGCGAGACGAAACCTAGCAAGGATGTCGAGGACAGCAGACCGTCTAGCAGGTAAAATAGATCGACATCGTTTATTGCGACGTATCATATCATATGCTCGATACGAATCTGGTAGCCGCTTCCAACGTCAAAAATGAGAAAGCACCTGGGCTGCAGACGGCGGTTCACATACGGCCGGTTTAAAAGGAAAAGACTAGAAGAGCAAAGGGGTGACATGAGGGGAAGATTCAAATCGTTCATACAAAAGAACCGCTTAGGCTCGATTGCACCAATGTTATTTTAGTTTTAAGCGAGATTCAAATATGTCTGTCTTTACTTATTTAGAAGGAAAAATAAAAATAGACACATATTTAAATCCAAAATAATGTTGATGCAACTTGGTTTTAGAAATCTGATATATCAATTCCAATTATAACAGTTATAACTCCATTTGTTTGCATGTAATTCGCGATTTATTTATTTCAAGTCTATGTGTTTGTTTTTATTTTCTATATCTTCATAAGGTGCAAGAAAAATTGCAAGATATATAAAATTTATGCGACTTTATAATTAACTCATTTATGTTCATCCTGTTTTGACGATAAGCGAAATTATCGATATTTTACGTTTATATAACGCAATATTACGCAATCGAAAACAAACGTGAGTTTCTGAATAAACATTTACATTGAAAAAGCGACTCTGTATTTACGAATGAAATGAAAATCAAATCGGACTCAAACGATTTAATGATTAATCAGGCGCCTTGCAGCGCAAATTTCATAAAAAAATTTTTTTAATTTTGTGATAAAAATACTTTTTATTAATTTATAATCATATAAAAAATTTATTTTTTATTAATTTAATCATATAAAAATCAATAATAAATATAAAAAGAGAATATATGAAATCAGTCCATTATTCATATATATATGAAATCTGTTTTGGAAGTGAATCTTGATTTCAACGATGATTAATCAGCTGATAACGATAACATATCGCACGTAAAAATGTTTAACAGATTGTCAATATCTTATTTGATAAGATGATAAAAATTATTAACATGTAATATATCGCTTGCAATAATCAAAAAGACAAAACAATGTGTCTAACAATAACTCTTTAGACATAAATAGGAGGAAAAAAAAAATATATATATATATATTTATATCGTATATATATACCATTTATACCATTATTATTTCTAATTGATTAACTGTTCCGAATGTGTCAATGTTTTTTATGTCATTTTAAAATATTGAAAAAGTAACACAAATTAGAAGTATCTCAGTGCTATTTCTGCCTATTTTTAATCATATATGGCAAACAGAAAACGAAATTTTTTCATGTTTTTGCAGTCCGCCGAAGACGATAATGATTAGCGGTGCCCCAGCCAAAGGGAACGCTGATTTTCCGCCGGAAGCTGTTCAACACTTCCATGAGAAGCCTACACCGACGCATGATGCACGACCGGCGCACTGTTCGCGTCCCATTATCATCCAACAACCCAGAAAATGAACTGCATTTTGCAAATCTTATATTGAACTGATGGACCTTGGTCCGCAGAGTCATCCGTTGAATTTACGCGAGAAGAAATTTTAATTATATAAATATATATGAAAGATATAAGTATGTGTGTATATGTGTACACATATGCATATACACACATACATGTATAAGCGTACTTAAAAGTCTTTAAAAAAGCTTAAAATCGAGAATTTTGGACATGAAGCAGTTTCGCGCTGCTTGAACCTTGATCCTTTAACTGATAAGTGATTACTATCCTTTTTCTAATTAATTAACTATATACATATATATATATATATATATATATATATATATATATGTATATAGTTAATCAGATTGTCTCATAATTATCTGTTAAAGAATTAAGAGAACTCGATTTTGTATGGATTAGATGTTAACCATCTTATGAAAGATTACTATATTGTTAACAATGAAAAAAGAAAGTTTATTTTTTTGGACGCCACAAGATTCCTGCATCGGCATTTAACAGGCTTTTACAAGTATGTTTTTAATTCGTTCACATTTTCATTTTGTTTCTTTTTATATTAGATACGACACGTTTACTATGATTATATTAAATATTGTAACACAATTATACAATATGATCACTATTTTTGGGACCAGTATATACTGCAATTCATGATAGAACTTTCATATTTAGTTATATTTTCAACCTGCATTTTTTTCCTTTTTATTTTAATCCTTTATCTGTCTGACTATAGAATAGAAATTTAACATATTAGTAACACTTTGAATTTCAAGAAATTGAAATGCTTTGTTAATGTATGAAAAATGTCGAGTGAGATTCATAATGGCGACAGTTTGTATAACATTTCAGAGAGAATAAATATTCGTATATGTGTACGAAATCGGATTGTGTTCTAATTCTTTACACATACATATATGTTGGAATTATTGAAGATGCACAAATTATGATTTATTTTTATTCTATAATAAAATTTTCTATATATAATAAATTAATAAGAAAAACTTGAGAAAAAACAAGAGATTATATAGATATATAAATTAATACCATAGGGAAGTAAGATAACAATTTCATGGTACTCACTGATGATACTATTATAATATTTCCCTAAAATTCACAGAATAGGAATAAAAATCATTGACTTTTCTCAGATACACTTTGTTGTTTTATATAATCTTGCACAGTTTCAAAAATATTTTGCACACCATTGGTTATATAGGTTGGAGTATTGGACAGGAATTTTGTACTTGTTATGATTCCCTTATTCCATGATGACTTGATAAAGTTGGAAAGATCACTGGTACTTGGCAATGGTGGTAGCTATAGAACAATTTAATATTTTTTTTCTTAAATAAATCTCTAATAAAATGTTGGAAAAAAGTAATATATAATGCAAAGTGATATAATATATAAAACAAAGAGTTCATAATGTCATGTATGTACATATAAATCTAAAATTGATTGAATCAATAGTAAACTTGTCACTTTAGATCTTATTTGATTGTTATTAAATGTTAATATTTAACTAGGATTAAATTATTATATTTTAAATTTTAAATTATTATAATAATTATTATTATATTATCTAAATATGCTGAAAAAATGCTAAATATTGCTAAAATTGTTAATTAAAACACACCTCGTTAACGACTTCCTTGGGAATGTTGTCCTTAATGTAAGGCGCGACATTATTGTAGATTTTTCCATACAATTGCACGCTGTCTTCGGACTTGGACCACAAGCCCTGATGAACACTATAATAAACAATACCTCCTACGAGAGTGGCCTTGACAGCAAACCTGCAGACATAACCTCTCGTCATAATTCGATTTCGATCTGTGGAACGATGTAGTGTAAGAATACCGTGACAGCGTGTCTTCTCTACTCCTCAGCGAATGTACTAACCGCACGATACCCATTATTCAGTCAAAAATCACTTTGACAAATCAATTCGATTCAAAACCCGCTCCAAAAGCCTCCGCCTGTGATGTAAGAAAACGAGACTTATGTAAAGTCTGCCATGATTCAAATATAACTTAAATGCGATCCACTTGACATTATAGTCGCTTCGCTCTTATTGGTCCATCAAACATTGAAATTGGTCCATCATTCGTTGAAATTGACCAATCAGAACAAAGCAATTTGTCGATCGACTATTCTGATTGGTCAATTCCAACTGCAACCGAGCTTGCAATCCGTAGTGTGATTATGGCTTTAGATGATCCCTGGAAGCGAAACTCCCTCTGTGGACATTAAAAACGTGGACATGAACTACAAACCAATCGCTTTCAGGGATTACCTAAAAGCAGGCCATGATACCTCTCAGTTTTATCTCTGATGCAACTATCATGAATAGATCTCGAGATTCGATGCTTTAGCGTCATTTTTTGGTTCTGTCCAAAAGACGTTTGTTGATCAACTATTTGATTCTGCTTGACTCGTTGATGTATTATGAATCATTATTATGTTTTCCTATTTTTCTTTTTTTATATATTTATTTTTTAATCTATTAGAATTGCACTGTCGATAATATATAACCGTGATTTAAATTAATGATTTAAAAGTAATGGTATTATCTCGGTTTATTCATTAAGCATTTATTTTAATTTCAAGGCTTGTGCTCTATAATGTCGCCAACAGAATATGTGGAATTAAAGGTATTAAAAATATGATGATTTTATATAAAATAATTTTATTTAATAGCAAAATAATGAAAGGAGCACTAAACAGTATATTTATTTATTCATTGCAGCATATTGATAAATTATTACAATGTGGAATATGTTATGAGTATATGAACACTAGTGTGATAACATCGTGTTCTCATAATTGTGAGTAATTGTTTAAAGCCTTTTATTATTTATATTATATAAATGTTTTATGTTTTATGATTTTAGATTGTTCCCTGTGCATTAGAAAGTATTTACATTATAAAACTCAATGTCCAACTTGCTTTGAAGAAACATTTGAGAAAGATTTACGAAAAAACAATCTTTTGGATGAGATTATTATTCATTATTTGAATTTTAAAGACAAAAGTGAAAAGAAATTTTATCAAAAAGAGATATTGACTGTGGAAAATAGAAACTTTGAAAATGTACACTCTCCAAATAATTTTGAATGTAAGAAAAAACAAAATGTTCCTGACACAAATGAAATATTGGATAAAAATCTTGAGAGTCCAATGTCTATGGCTAGTAACACTACACCTCGTGGACAAAAAAATGATCAGCAAAATATATCTACTCCTAGCACCAGTACAGAACTTAGGATACCTTCAATGTTTACACCAAAGAGAAAAGGTTTTCAAAATGAGGAAAATGAGCTAGTTGAATGTCCAGTTTGCAAAGTAGATGTACCTCAAAATAATATAAATAAACATTTAGATGATTGTTTAAAAAGGGAAAATACAAAGGTTCAACCTAAAAAGTAAGCATATAATATTACTTTGTATTATTATATTTTATTCCTAAAATTTTAAAGGAAATCAATACGATTAATATCTTGAATATTCCAATGTGTACTTTTTGCAATTTTTTAAATATTTGTGCTTATTTGCAGATGCGAGCCAAAACGTAAACCACTACCAAAATTAGTATTAAGTTTAATGAAAGATAATATTATACGAAAAAAATTAAAAGAATTTGGTTTATTAACTCAAGGAGACAGAAAGACATTAGAAACCAGACTACAAAGATATATTATTCTTTATAATGCAGAATGTGATAAAATAAATCCAAGATCCATATCGGAATTAATTAAGCAGTGTGAAGAAGAAGAAAATTTGGAGAGGAAAATACAGAAACCATCAAATGTGAATATATTATAATATTATGTAGTGTAGAATATTTTATACATATACATTTGCTTAAAATTTTTTTATATATTAATGCAATGAATTTTACAGAGATTAAATATCAATAGAAATACGGAACAAAATATTATAGAACAGCAGAGAAAGAAATATTGTAAGCATTCTTGAATTATTTGCATATATAAATAATTAGAATATAAATATTTTAATATTTCTTCTTTTTTTTTATTTTTAGTAGCTGCAAATAAGGATAGTTATGATGAACTAATTTTGAAAATGAAACATCCTAATAGTTCACGGAAATTGCCTGTTAGGCGCAATATATTAAGCAAAGAAAATTCTGATACGCTATATCAAGATTGTGTTGCAGAAAGCACTTCAATTATTAGAGATAACGAGGAAAGCAATTTTTTAGCACTGAATTCTAATATTGAAGATTCAAACATGTCTTGTTATAACATGAATCCTACAAATTTTTTAGCAATTGAATTATCTTCCTCATCTAATGATACCAATGACCAATATGCTTCCAATCATATCTCAAATAATTCATGCAAAATTGAACGAGTTTTATCTAATTCTAATGTAAAAATAGAAAATATCCAGAATGAATTATTATTTCCCGAAAATACTGTAATACATGAAGAAACGGTTTCTAGTAACCAATCAAGAGAATATAATGCTACAGAAAATAGAATGAATATTGATAGCAAAGAATCAGTTTCTGAACTTATCAAAATTGAGTCAAAGAATAAAAGAAAAACTAAATTGTCTGTGAAAAGAAATAGGAATAACTTAAAGTGTAGCCCAATGAAACGTGTAGCATATCCCGAGCTTAAAGATGAACGGCAGAAAGAATTACACAATGAAGCAATACATTCAATTGTAGAAGATATCGAATATTTGATAGGAGACAGTGACAATAGTGACATTCAAGATTGTGGTAAATAATCTTTAATAATTTAAAAGAATAAACGTTATTTTTCATTTTAGTTATCATGAAACTATTTTTGTTAGGATGAGCGGAATCTTCGTCATTTGAGATTTGACTTTTACAGAGAAATTAAAGGACGAACAAGTATATAATGTGAAAGAAAAATATACATCCGATCGCATAAAATTTGAAAAAGAAAATTTGAAGTCGTCGGATAAAAGTATAAAACCTTACGCTCTTCGAAAACGGGAGCGCGAAATGACATTCACGTTAAGTGACAAAGAAAGAATTGCGGATAGATCGACGAATGTGAGGAAATCATCCAGGTTTGATCTTAGTGAAACTAGAGGATTTAATAATGAAAATTTTAAAGAAAAGACAGATACGAGATGAAGAATAATTGCAAAATGAGAAGAAATCATTACATGTAACTTACGATTACAAAGACATCTTAAATTAAAAAATAAAATTAGTAATGATTTGGAAATATAGAATTAAAATAGTTGAATAATCATAGAAATAAATAAATTTGTATATATCTTGTTGAGGATTAAAACAAAAATAAGTAATTGATTTATAATTATAGATATTTTGCTTTGATAATTATATATATATAATATATTTTCCTTCATATACAAATAATTTTGATATAAACAGAAAATAAAAACACGTATATCAAAACACATAATAAAAGTATATTATATTCATGTTATTGTATCTACTGCTGCTGCCTTATTCACACATATATATTTTTAATTACAGCATATTTTTAAATATTGTATAAATAATATATATTCTATTTATAATATTCTATTTATGCATCGTTTCAAGTAGATATCACAAAATTATCTAACATCTAACATATCAATCAATGAATTTGGGTTAAACAAAATATTTGATTATTTATGTATGTATATATGTTACATTACTTAATATGCATTCATTACATAATCTAACATGATTCAATTAAAGAAAATGATAAAATATTTTATATTACTTTGATAAGTGCGTTTGAATGGTACATAAATTATTGAAATCTTTTTATCAAAGACATTAAGTTTTATTGAATATATTATTTTACATTATTTTGAACAGAAAAAAAGAGACTAACAGCGATGAAACGATCGGCGCAAATCTCAATAAACTTGCATATTTCTATTGCTAGACATTAACAATAATTTAATAAGCTTAACATAATGTCTCCAAATGTCTATAGCTGCCCATTTACCGATCGCTTACACAATAAAATTTACATTTTTAATATTATATAACTTTGATATTCATACACTTTGGTATTGATTTATACAATTATACAGTTTACTTTATTTACATAGTGTAATTTACGATAAACTCTGATACTCATCTAAGTTCGTAGATTTATAAGTGCTAACGTTCTAAACGGAACGGCTATTACACTCATTATATATCGTTCTCGCTTAATTCTTACTTAACGTTATTGCACTGTTACAGTCTATTAAACTTTGTATCGTTATCGACATTTTTCTGTTTCATATACGAGGCGCATCGTTACTATAGGAACGAAAATTTTTCTATAGTTTGGGAAGCATTTCTAATATAGTAAACATTTCTGCACTTTAACAAACTTTTATCTAAAATTCTTATATTTGATGCTTTCAAAAGTATTAACTACTTAGCAGAATTATTATTCATTTTGTGATCATCTTATATTTCATTATTTTCTTTATAATTAGAGGAAATATTTATTCGCATAAAACATCTTTTTGTTTGCATAAAACATCTTTTACTTAAATACAAATTCGAGCATAATAATCTGTTTTGCTGTGGTATGGCATCACGCGAGGTAGTTACTCGAATGTTAGTACAGTTTCCTCCAAGTACGCTACAAGTGACTTTAATTTCTATCCCGTATGTAATAGTTTGTCAATTTCGCTTGAAGACAGCAAGAAGATCGAAATATCAGGGACATTGTCTTATAATTAATAATCCAATTTATTTATCATTATCATTAGATTCATCAACGACTCATTCGTGATATTCACATTCATAGTACTTATAAGTAGATTGTCTTTTGATTTACTAAGAGACCAAAGATAGTAGCTTTGAAGTAAGACGGCGGAAAGATTATCTTTGCCGTAAAAGGCCAATTGTCTCCTATTATTTATTTAGTTAAAGAGAAACTCCTGAAAAATAGATTACCTCTCTTACGCGAGTAAAGAAACTATCGAAGAAACTAGTCTTATCACACATTTTAAGTACGTATGTTAATATTTGCAGATTCCTTTTTAATTACGGATGGACCAAGTTAAAATCGAAATGTAAATTAATTATCGTATGATAAATTTATTTCGTATGAAATAAATTTCATATATTGTATAGAATTAATTAATTTACATTTCGTTCATTAAATACACGATAAAATATTAATATGTTAAGCTCTTTTAATAAAATTATACTTTGTGGGATAAAAATATGTATATACGATGATAGATGTTATGCATAGTATAGCGCTTTATTCTTGAAAGAGAATCGGAAAAACTCTTTTTCCGAAAAAACTATTTTTTGAAAAATTTGTATATATATATATTCTTTTTATTTAATTTTTTAGTTTTATAAGTTATTTCAAAGATATATCAAGGGAAAATAAAATTATATTTTATAGGCGCTAAATTTTCCTTTAAAAATAAATTCGCTATTTAAACTCATTTTTTATATTTATTCTTTTTATTAGATAAGTTTAATAGGATACGTTATTTACAAAGATATGTAGGAATACTATAAGCTCATAGACGCGAGAATTTCTCTTTTCACGCTCAATATTTAAAAGAATATCTTTACAACCTTGTACACACATATATATATATATTGCAGTTTCATAAAAACTCGAGATCATTTTTCTCAGCAGATAATCAATAATCCGTCTTTCGATTGAGTGGATCACATCTCATTTTGCAATAATGTATTGTTTTCTTTTCAATCATATTTTGATTAAAAACCTTTGATTCTCGAATTCATTGAAACAATGCATACTTCGTAAAACGACATTGTTTTTTGAAAATATTACCGCAAATTATTAAGAATATTGTTAAGCGTCGATAATTAATCGGGAAGATTTAAGCTTTCAAGATGAGAGCACATTGATTATCCTACCATTAATGCGCAATCTGTCATAGTCGACATATCGAACGCCTTTTTGTGATGACAGTTGATGAATCACGTTAGAATACTACAATTTCTGCGAAATTTGCGGATCATATAAATAATATTAATTCGGGAATTACATTGAGATAGATTTTTTTGATTTACATGCAAGAGAGTGATTGAAAAATTCAGTATGATATTCTTGAATATAATTTCAGATCGTTTAATCTCCTCCGGAAAATTCCCACAAGATTGAATGACTTTTTATCTCTCCCGGGACGTCTAATAGAAAATTATCAGAATAGCATCTGCGAATTTTTTTTCCTTCATTTTCCTCAACGGTAGTCTTTTGTAATTGATCAAGACACCAAAGATCTTTCTTCGTCGATTGCTATCTTTTTTAGGTGCAGTAAAATTATCTTGCTTCTTCACGAGTGATTTTTGTCATTGATAGTGGCGCGGATTGTGATTCATTCTTCTGGCATTGAAAATCTATTTATAATAGTTCTTTTATTGTACTAACAACAACATTTATAATCTCATCTAATCATTTCTTAATAACTACTGCTTTTCTTTTTATTTCTATCTTCTCTCATTAGTTAAATTTTAATGCAAATTTTATTGAAAAAAATCAGTATTTTTGCTCGACTTTTTGGTAAACACCTTTTATCAAGCTCAAAATCCTCAAATCTTCTAAAGAATATACTGATCAAATTGTTTTATGGTTGTTTTATTTTGATATCGCACTGAACTATTGTCACGTTATATTGTCTCGTTTCGATTTCCTCATCACCGTAATACCTATCGAGCCACGTATCTTGCGTAACAGATCTATTATATCAGCTGTCGACATGTGTTCCACGCTCTCTTCATTAACCTGAGAAGAAGAAATAATTTTTTTTTTAGAAACGTATGAACAAATTCGAACTTTGTATTAATTTTTAATCTTTGTAATTCTCTTTAAATTTACATGTTCAATAAATATTATTTATAAAGAGAATCTATATATATATATATATATATATATATATATATATATATATATATATATATTAATAATATATTAAATAATATTTTAAATTAATAATGTATAAATATTATTAATTTTATTTTGTACATTTAATGTAATAATAATGTAACCATAATAATAGTCATTATTATAGTCATATAATATTATAATGGCTCTAAAATATATCCTGTGGAAAAAAATTCGAGAGAAAGTAAAAAGGGCTTACCATTAGTAATACGTCGCCCTGCTTAAGTCTACCATCCTTAGCCGCGACGCTGTCGGGATGCACGACCGATATCACTGTACAATTTCCTTCTGGTTGCAAGCTAAAGCCCAGCCGGCTATTCCACCCACGCGTTAACTCCACCATGAACACCTGTAACAGAAAGATTGCGCAATATTGCGTGTCTTTGATTATCACGCGATTCCAAGATTAAAATCAATTGAATAATAATGCGTATATTAACCAATAAAACAAATTCTTCATTTTAATTAAATAAATCACAAATTTGAACTTTGCTTATTTATTCCAATTGAAATAAAATCAATTTAAAAAAAAATACAATTTTTAAAGATACCTCGCTGCCTTGTTCGAGATCTTCAGCAAGAGCAGCTGAATCCGTGGTATCTTTCCCAGTTTCTTCCGGATCGTGTTCAGTATCTACTTCATCGTTTGGAGCAAACATCACACCCTTCCACTTCAATAATCCTTTACTACCGCCTGGATCGTCCGTCCCCAAGATCTTTCCTACGCGACGAGACAAAAAGTCGAGATTATTGAATTGGCAATAACGCTAATTGTATAAAGTGATAGCCACGCAAAGTTCCTAAGTTTTTCAATGTGACTGTTATCTTATCTCTGTCTCCCTCTACTGCATTGATTTACTTTCAATGATAGAAACATAAAGAGACATAGGTCAGTATGTATTATACTTTTAGAATCAATTTTAATAGCTATTATCAATGACACACAAAATTATTTCATATTAATATTATTTTAAATCTACATATTTTTAATAATCGAGCCTCCATATGCACTTAAGAGATTATAAGCTAATTATCATAAAAGTTTTCTATTGCTTTAACACGTTTTCCATAATTCATTATTTATGTATAAAGTATAGTAATAATAGATATATCTAAATTAAGATATATATATATATATATATATATATATATATATATATATATAAATTAAACTTTCTTATACATTATGTATAATTTACACTTATATAAATTTATAAATTATAAATTCATTAATAAGAAGAAATGTTTGCTTCAATTATATTGCAAAATTGACAGAAATTTGATCAAAAATTATATAAAACAGTGAGAATTTAATGAGCATTGAAATAATATAAATATCGAATACGTGCAAAAAGTCATTAAAACTTATATTATTTTATATTAATTGATCAAATTTTGATTCTATTAATTCTATTTTCGGAAAATAAAACGAATAATAAGAAAATGTAATCTTTATATACCTGGTATGTCCTGATCGCTGGAGTGCGTGGTTTTATTCTTGGATCCAGCTGGATCACTGACGGCACTGCCGCAGGCCGGATTGGCACTCTGATAGGCCGGATTCTTGTAGCTGAAGGCAGCGGTGCTGGTACTGCTGGTAGATGAGAGCATCGGCGGCATAGAGGCCGGCTCGGACGGCAAATCATTATCATGCTCATCGCTCGACATCACCGTCACGCTCCTATCGTTATCGTAGTTTGGTTCGGCTAGTCGACTTCGTTCTGCTTCTGCGAGGATTACATCACCGTCGCCAGGATATTCGCCGTCCGAATCAACGCTGCAGAATTGAAAGTGCGGCTTACCTTGCGGCGCCGACAAGTCGAGGAAACTCGGCCTGGCTGCCGTATTGTTCGGTGTCGGTTTCGACGACTCATTATCATCATCGTCATAAATGTCGTAGAGCGGTGGCGGATCGATTATGTCGGTCGCAGGTGTATTTGCTTGGGAATTGGTGATCTGTGTCTTGACGGAGCATTGGTCCGAGTCCGACGCGGTCTCCGCTTGGCTGGCTGTCGACGACGTCGTTTGCACGTCATGCAACTTACCCTCGGGAGTTTCTGTGTAGAGAAACAGTTGTCGTGAGGAGACTTATTGTAAAGTCCTATCATCGAGGATTGCCCTGATTCTGTGCGATTCAAGATAACTCTGAGAAACAGTTGATGTTGAATATATCATTGTTACTTTAACGTTACTGGAAGTTTCAAAGCAATAGGCTGTTCTCCAGTTATTTCGATTGTACAGTTTCAGGAAATATACTTCATAAATTACAATCATATTTTTAAATATATTTGGAAAATTTGTATAGAGATTGATTAATGCGTAAGAAGATAATTAAGATTATTTATCCATCTTAGATGCTCTTATTCTTTTTAATCGATAAGTAATCTGCATGCTTATTTAGAACTATTGTCTATTCATATCGCTAACTAATTACTTGACAATACCTTGATTCGTTTCGGCAGTGGAAGTACGCGTGGCAAGTCGACGTAGCCTTCGGGGCGAGTTACATGAAGCACCAGGTGACTGTTGTTTACAACTACTAGAACCGCTGGATGTACCTGGTGACAGCTTTCGGACTGCTAAGTCACACAGCATATCTACGGCTTCTTGTCTGTCGTAAATATAACAGAATCAATTAGCTATAAATTATAAAACATTAAGTATAAAACATTAAGAGTGTTCGAACTCTAATTCGATATGACGATATCGACAAATAATCTTAAATATTAACAAGCATCCATCTTTTACCAATAATATTTTTTTGCTGATCTCTCTCTCTCTTGGAAAGAAAGAATAAATTGATTCTGTATGTAATTCTCAGTTATATTAGTGAAGAAACTAATTATACGGATTTTTTAGATTTTCACAGCATAAAGAAATATCTACACAATAGAATTAAAATCAGATTTGCTACATAACAAATATTCTTTTTTAGATCAATGAGTATTAAAACCAAAGAAGAATTAATAATAAATAAGATCCCTTTTAAATATATATATTTTTTTAAATATAATCAAAATTACCGTAATTTTTTATAAATAATTTGATTTTGTCAATTCTTTTTTTATTGGATCTTACTTTATATGTAATATTAATGCTAAAAATATAATATAAAAAATATTCTAATAATATCTTTTATATTATATTTCCAATATCGAATATCTTAATTCTTATATTTCAAAATTAAAATAAAACAATTCGATACAAAAAATAAAACAATTCGATACAAAACAAAATAATGAATCATTAATAAAAGACGTTGTTATCCTCTGATTTGTAAAATTAATTTGTTCTGACAGCATTACACATGCACAAGAAAAAAATTTAATTTAATTTCTCGCTTAATCTTTTCTTTTATCCAGAATTATTTTCAGTTACAATATAATTATCCATTACAAGAAATCCTGTATAAAAATATTAAGCTAATTATGAGATTTAGAGACCTCAAACTCGTTCGTGGCGGACGGAGGGGATGATCGGGCTCAGTAGGCGAGAGCGCTGAAACTGGAGTCTGCGCCAAATCGCGGTACAGCCGCAGTTTCACTGTTGGTCCGCATTGTCGCAGCAACTGAACTGCTTCCTCGTGACTCATTGGAGACAGTGGAGCATTGTCTACGGCGACGATCTTGTCGCCCGGTCGGATTCTGCCATCACTCAATGCCGGTTCCCGTACCAATGCCCGCACGTAATGACCCAAGGCGCTGCTGTCCGCTTTCCTCAGGGTAAAGCCAAGACTGCCGCCGACTTTCGTCATTTCGATGTCGAATTCCTGCAAACAGTTGCTATTCATTCCCGTTCTCTTTCTTACTTAACTCTTAATTTGTAATTGCAAAAATATTCAATTCCTTAAATTAATTTTAAGTATATTAAAATTGGAAAATTTATACTTATTATTTTTATATTAATTAAGAAAGATTACGTTTGTGCGGAAAGATTTGGATATATAATATTTTGTAATCCAGCGAGAATTTTATTTTTTACTGATTTGCGTCAAGCAACAGAAAAACTTTAAAATTTGTATTTTGATATTGTAATATCCAAGATTTAAAAAATATATTTTTTGAGCTTATTGAAAATATTCATTGATTCGAGATGCATGTACGCATTTCACTTGCGGAATTTTTGGTTTGACAATTTAGATTTCTCGCTGGGGAAACTCATGGTACGCAAGCAGTCGTATGTATGCATTGACTATTGTTTATGAATATTGTTTATGAATATTACCTCCGGTGGACCGTTCCCTTTCAAGCTTCCCTCGGGAATATTCAAATCAATAAATAATGTGTATATTCCGATCTCATCACCTTACTTAATTACGAATATTAATAGCCCGAATAAAAAATTATGCTTCACAAATAAAATAAGTTTCAAACATTTCTAGAAATATAGAACTTTTTTCCAACAGTTCTATTTAAATTTAATTAACTGACAGATAAACTATTTCGTTATTATTTAGAATTGATTTATGAACCAAATCAATCAATCCTTTATTTATTTATTTGTGGATGCAACTAATTCTTGCGAATAATTATTTAATCGTATATATTGCTGAGGAAATTAAATGCTTCAATTGTTACTTTTAATATTAAATACAAATATTGTGCTCCTATATAATAATCCTATATAATATTTACCGATAATATTAATAATTTAACTTTTTTGCAATTAATATTTATTCTTTACATACGTTATTAATAAAATTAATTCATCAATAAACGACAATATTATATGTAAAAATTTATATATATTACTTTATTATATATATATATATATATATATATATATATATATATATAAACGATAAAACTATTATTTTTTAAAATAATGTATGATACTCTTGTCTTTCAATTATCTAATGTATTAATGCTTTCACGCAAATTTTATTAAATCAGCTGATGTGTTATTCGTTATTTATCAAGCAGCTATCTAACAGACAATACATATCTATCATTAACAGACCATATATATCTATGAACTTATTTAAAAGGAGCACTTACACCGCAGGGTTCAATTTGCAGTGGTGGAAGCGGATTGAGTATACGTAACGATGACGGTTCCCGTCTTGCTGGAGGTGGCGGTGGTGCACCCGGTGGAGTAACATTACTATCTCCTGGAAGCCGGCATACCACCAATTCAACTGTGCTAGGGGTCGTACGCAGAACTTCGAGAGCCTCCTGCAACAAGTAGTAGTCGAAATAAGATTATGCGAGCTTTCCATTCCTCCTGTATATACACGTATAGATAACATCTTCGAAGACGCCGTTGCAATCATCTTCTTTAAAGATCTGATTTCCGTATGGTTTAAAAAACTAAAGGAAAGAGAGAGAGAGAAAGCAACAAACTAGAGCTAACAATTTACAGAGACGAAATTGGCTTTCGAGAATGAAATTCGATGATATGCAGGAAAAAAATAAATTAGCTATATAAAATTTATCTATATAAAATTATAATTCTATTTTATTTAAAAAAAAATTTTACTTCTTATTTATATCCGACTTTTTATTTTTTATTATAAAATAAATTTTAATTTATACTTTCTTGGCTTTTCACCAAATTTATGTATAATTAGTAGCAAACTTTATTTACAAAACGTAGCAACGATTGTAATTAAACGCAATCGCGATAAAACTGTTGTTCCCAGCTGGTGACCCGATAGTAAAGTGGTGCAATGGAATTAAGATGAAGTCAAGGTTTTAGCATCCCTGCAGTAGATTCAACGCGTTTCTCACGGAAATTAAGAGTGGCGGAAGGGCACGAGTATACGTAGTTGCGTGCTGGGAGCAGGAGGCAGTATTGCTTTTACCCTCGTGGGACAACCTGCCAAGTACAAGCGAGATAACGTCTATCATCTCGCCGGAGCCCACGGGCGTAGCTGCATTATGTTAATCTAATGCAAATCTTCGCGAAAGACGCAAGAGGATAAGCAAGACTCAAGCCACCAGTTGAGAAGAAGCAGTCGTTACTAGTACATATATACTATACGAATGTGTCCATATTCAACTTCGTTTAACTGATATCGATAAAACTTTGTTTCAAATATTATTTCTACCTTTAAAATAGACATTAATATGAAACATATATGATACACATCGCTAAAACAAATGAACATTTTTTAAAATAAAAATTAATTTAATTAGATTTTTTACATTAATAAAAAAATTAGAAGAATTATTTTAACTATTAATTCAATTAGGAGAATTTAATTTGTTATTCTATATATTTTTTGTATATTTATATAAAAATATAGTTTAGAATATTATTTATATAAATTTTGCTACGTATTTAGATTGAAAATATTTGAAAATTGATGCAATCTCCTTTCCTTTTAAATTTTTACATTAAACTTTCATTTATCTACATATCTCGAAATTATGAATTGCATGAGAAAGAATCGATTTATATCAAGAAGCAAGTATTGTCGAGTCAAAACTAGCAAAATATTATGTTGTTATAATTTATTCGAGTTTTTATTCATCAACTGCAATTCATTCGTAGTTAGATCGCTAAAGCGAATTTTGTTTTCGATTTTAATCAATTAATTACTTACGTAATTAGTGAGGCCAGTCAGTGGGATTCCATTGGCAGCTAGTAATATGTCGCCGATTTGAAGTTTGTTGGACAGGGCGGCGGGTTGTTGAGGAAAGAGTCTTTTCACTCTAACAGGACCTGCGGTACCGCCACCAGAAACGCTCAGACCGAGACCGCGACTGCTCTTTTGCAGCGTCACCCGGAATGTGCTCTCTGAAAGTTATTTAAACATTTTTATTATGCTTGTACGAGTATGTTTCTTTTGAATAGCATTACATCCTGCTGAGAATATTTCGCTTATCCATTTTACGTAGCTCGTGTATTTAATTCTTCGCGCTCGGAGTTGTTGTCGTTGAATGTCAGGCCATTCAAGAATTAAAATTACCTTGCAAATTAAATGAAACTCCATGGAAATTAGGAATTTCGGGACTTTATTTTTTATTCGCTATTTTATCATAATTATATTTATCGAAAAAATTTATTTTCAAAAACGAATTGATGAAAAATAAATGCAAATTGTGTCAAAGTTTACATACGACGCAAGTATATTGATTATAATTGTACGAATAGAAAATAGGCTTTACTTAATCGAAATTTTGATTTCTCGAAATATTGTGATTGGGGCTATTGTGCAATTTATCGTTTCTACTAGAGTGAGGTATGGTTTAATATCTGCTAGCAGAACTACAATAGAAACAATTACTTTCTGTCGCGGTATTCTATACAATACTGCGGTGCACTGCGTGCATATTTCAACCACTGCAGTAGCTTTCACGGAATGCGTTCTGTCGGTCATAATTTTCGCACTCGTTCAGAGGACATGTTTCCAAAATATACGTGATCTTGTGCGTGCGCGCACGTGCGTGCGTGTATATGTCATTTTTGGATGATGGTTAACATTGCATTTTGTCGAACCTGGCTCATTTAATATATATGGTGAGGTCATCCACGTGCACAAAGTTAAAATAAACTGTACAGAATTTCATAAGTATATTAAAAAACTTCACTGATCAATTTAAAAATCTTATTATATCTTAATCTTATAATATGTTGATTTGAAAGATACTTTCATTACCTATGCTCTCTTGTAGAATATCTTTAATTATAATTACAATCTTGTAGAATATCTACAATTATGATCTTTAATTATATGTATAATTAAAGATATTCTACAAGAGAGCATAGATAATGAAAAAGTGTTATATATGTATATATAAATTAATTTTTAATTGCAAATGATTTATTTGTAGCTATAATATATAATTTATAATATCTTTATAGTTAATATTTATTAATATTTTATAGTTATCTATAGTTTATAGTTTAAGCTTGATTCCTCATAATTTGTCAACACTTGCACGATCATAAGCGATTGTTTGATTTTGGAACTTTGATTTTATGTAACTGTGTCACGCGTGCTGTTTGCGTAACGTCGAAGTTTAAAGCTGAAGTATCTATATCGCACAAGCAAAATGTTGTGCCATTTACAATTAGTACTAATCAAAATGATACAAACAATTATAACAAATGTAACAAATGCAATAGGATTTATATATATATATATATATATATATATATATATATATAATTTATTATATATCTTTTTATTACATTTTATTATTATATAATCGAAATTCATTTTACTGACAATCCTTAACGATAAATAAAATCATCATTAATAAAAAATGATTAATAATAAGTAAAATGATCATAACAAACAAAAATATTCATTGCAAATGCAGTAAATTGAATAAAATAATCCAAGATTAGCTCTTTTTCATAAGTATAGATTTGTTATGCATTCCATTTTTTTAATGTAAAAATCAATGTATGTGAAATGACTTTCAATTCAGAATAGCTTACGTCCACCGGATATTGACTCGATTCAGCAGACATATCGCACATATTGTTCACTTTGTTCACTTTACTGGCTATTCAAACCTGGGCCTCTCCTGCGTTCGCCACCTTGCAAAAGGGTAATTTACGTTTGTCGCGTTATTGTCTGAAGTCGCACAGTGTCACTCTTTCCGAAAGAGAAACCGGTCATTGTTAGAATCGCTTCGAATTACAGGGCGGTCCATGTTCAATGAATTCTCCGATCGTTTGCTAAACGCTTCGTGAAATTGGACGGTCGATTTCACGGGAATGATGATTTTCCTGCATCATTCTATACATTGTTCCAATGTACTATTACAATTAAGATCACGATTGCTGACAAGGCTACTACTTTAGAATTGTTAGCCAAAGAGCGACGATTTCGTATCTGTATACTTTTCATACTTTATTTTAGTTTGAAAGATAATTTATATAAACTTGCGTAAAGTTTTCTTCTAAATTATAATAATAAATTTTTCTTTTAAATAATACATTGTATAAAATGTGCGTTTTATAAACTTAAGAAATATTATTCTTTAAAATTGATGTTATAAATTGATAACATTTAATCATAGATTTGGTCAATTGCATTGATTTATCAATAATAGATTTATTCAAATCAATTGCTTTTAATAAACTGCGTATTAAAATAATCTGCTAGAATATGTAAAAAACAAAGGCAAATATTATTAATTACAAAATTAATAGCAATAATAGTTAATTTATTACCGTTCTGAAATATATTTAATAAAAGAGTATTATAATAAAGTATTAAATATATTTAATAAATATATTTAATACTTTATTATAATACTCTTTATAAATTTACGCTCAATATATTCCACATTTTGTATTTTAAATAAATTTCGATGAGCTATCATATAAAATTTAGAAATGTAGAGATTTTAATTACTTGTTTACAATATACTCATCATTATTTATTAATCTTGATGAAAATTTAATTAGTTGATTAAACATTATATTTAAATGGAATTAATAAATTTGGAAAAGTTATCTTTGTTGTGTAATGTATAAATATAATTTATTAATTTTAATTTGAAATTTCAATTTTATAAAATAAATTTTATTGTTATAATATTTATTTACAGCAATATCTTATACATATCAAATTTAATTTGAAATACAAGATACACACAAGATTCAATATATGAATTAACTATAAAATGTTAATTATTTTAAGGCAGCAATACACTAGTTATTATACAAAGATAATAATAAGATAGATATAAGATAGATAATGATAACAACTTGAAGGACGCGAAAGACACGAGGGACACGATGTGTTATTGATAATACAACTTATTGTCATTTGTAATGACGTCAAAATTTACACTAGTTATTATACAAAGATAGGTCATGACAACAAACTTGTTGAAGGAAGACACAAAGGACACAGCGCGTACAGTGTGTTATTAGATTCGCTCAACTTGTCATTTGTACGGTGACACTCGAAGTGCTATCATCGCATTATTCTTCCAGAAATCTTATTTCCTAATTTTATTATAATTAGCGATACGCAGCATATCAGCATAATTAACAGTATTTTCGTGAATGTCAAAATTTACCTTGCTTAAAGTTATATTGATATTCTGAGTCGTTGATTCAAAATATAATCGCGCAAAAGAGAATATTAGTTCGCTATCGCGAAATTTGCGAGAATGTCATGCAAAATGTCGCACGTCCATTTTCATTGTACCGCGAATATTTCGTTGCATCGTAATTAGTTTGAAAGTGTTATGTCGCGTTTTAATTAGTTTGATAACGATATGTATGAAATGTCGCGCATCTGATTGTGAATCTGCGAGTGCCGTGTAAAGTATCGTGCGTCTGTTCTTATCGTGCCGCATAATAAACAGTAACGAACTGTATTTTCGCGAGTGAGTGCGACGAACTTTGTAGATGTAATGAATCCTGATAACCTATGAAGAGGAGAAAGTTTAGGAAGTGTCGAGCAACGGCGGAATAATCTTTGCAGTGAGTAATTTATTTGTATATTATTTATTTATCTCTCTCTTGCATATTTATTTCCGTTTATCTGGATTTAAATAAGAAAGAAAAAGAAAGAGATTTTTATGCATGATATGTTTTATTAAAGCTTGAAGTTTAGAAACATATAATTTTTTTCAAAAATTATAAAATTATTTCATTAAATTTTTGTTTATTATATTGTCATATATTTTCTCGCATTTTTTATCACTTACGTGTAATAACACGTAATTGGAAATGGTACAAATGCACGATATCGTTCGTACAACTCGCGTGAGTATCTCGAATTGCAATTAGCTCGATTGTATTTATAATATACTTGATGTCACTCTAAATCTGAGACAGCGGCACAGTAAAAACGATTCGATTAAGAAAACAATCAATTATCCGCGGGATGGACGGGCGTTTAATTAACGTTTGCGTTTGGTCAGCGAATTATAAACGGAAGTACTCATAAAAAGAGAGGATGTTGCCGCTCCGAGGTTTACGTACGAACGATACGGCTGGCCCAGCACGTGTGTAACGTCCGTTATGGAATCCATTACGAGATAGTGGGATGCCGCCTGCGGTTTGCAACGAAGATATCGATATTTATGGATCTAACAGGCTCACCACTAAAGTATATTCGCCATTACATTTGCGAGGATTATCGGCCAACGGAAGCCGCCGCTCTTTGAAGCCATAATCCCGCGTTCCTTCGAGTCGATAATGGAATCGCTTTTAATGCCGCATGGATGATTCTCTCCGAATCACGTAATGGTAAATTATCCCACTTCGGAAAGAGCGCTTCTAATAATTTGCCATCTGTCAAGAAGGCTTTAAATGTGTGGGAGGATACCGCTCCATATTGATCAGGTTTTAAGTGGGATGAATTGAGAATATCCGAATGTTAATTCTTTTTAAACGAACAGACATTCACAATTTTTAACAATTTATACTGTGCGAAAGATGAGTCCAATGATTGAAATATTTATCTAACAGAGAGAGTACGAAATAAGTTCTATATTTCTCGGGGCTCTTTCATTCGATACTCGGAGTTCGCTGACGATCTCTTAATATTTGTACCAAAGTGTAATTAAAATCGTGAAAAGCAGCGGCCAATGTCGGCCGTGATATGAAGCCTTCAAAGAGCGCGATAGAGCGTGCAAACGAGACGAACACTGATAAAAGTACGAGAGCTTTAGTTCGGTTATACCGGTCTTTAATGCTGGCTTCGTTAGTTGCAGATTGCCGGTGACACATTTTCTCTCTTTCTTCCTTTCCGTTTTTCCTTTTTCTCGCTCTTATTTTTTTTTCCATCACGAACGTCGTCGTGGATCCGTAGTCCGAGG